AAGCTTTCTCTCTCTTGTGCCCTCTCTCTCTCTCTCGGTTCTCTCCCTCTCCCTTAGATATTTTTGGACTCAAAGTGATGAGTTCAACTCATATCATATCATATATATATATAAGGTTATCACAATTAGGGAGCCAAACACACCGTTACGAATCATACGAAATCAAATTCCAACTAAACTTCCCAAATGACTTTAAAAATCATGCTGATCAAAATTATGTACTCCGTTTTGGTTTTTGAAGCCTCTAAGGCCTTCAATTTGCAGTACAAAGTTAACCACCCAAACATACCTTAACGAATCAGACAAAATAAATTTTCAATTGATTTTCCCAAATAGCTCTAAAAATTCCCATTAGCATAACCATGTACTCAATTGCGGTTTCAAATCTCTTAAAAGTCAGCAATTTCAGTCCCAAGGTCGTAACTTAACAGATAATTCTTTAATTCAAACAGATGTAATTAAATTAAGGCACATTAACCCATAATTACATAAAGATAATTTATGATACACATTTTGGGGTCGTTACAGGTTTGGCTAGATAACTCTTTAGTTCTTGTAGAGCATGGTCGCATTTTGGGGTCCATTCGAATCAGTTCTTTTTCTTGGTTAGTTGGAAGAACGATCGGCATCAATTAGAGGATCAGCTGATGAACCTATGGAGGGTTGCTGTCATCCCAGTGAGCATTTGGCTTCCTTTAACAATTAAGGGCGGGGTTAGGCTGATCAACACCCAAACATACCTTAACAAATCAGACAAAATAAATTTTCAATTGATTTTCCCAAATAGCTCTAAAAATTCCCATTAGCATAACCATGTACTCAATTGCGGTTTCTAATCTCTTAAAAGTCGGCAATTTCAGTTCCAAGATCGTAACTCAACAGATAATTCTTCAATTCAAACAGATATAATTAAATTAAGACACATTAACCCATAATTACATAAAGATAATTTATGATACACATTTTGGGGTCGTTACAGGTTTGGCTAGATAACTCTTTAGTTCTTGTAGAGCATGGTCGCATTTTGGGGTCCATTCGAATCAGTTCTTTTTCTTGGTTAGTTGGAAGAACGATCGGCATCAATTAGAGGATCAGCTGATGAACCTATGGAGGGTTGCTGTCATCCCAGTGAGCATTTGGCTTCCTTTAACAATTAAGGGCGGGGTTAGGCTGATCAATGCCAGGATTTGATCAGGATTAGCTTTTATTCCTCGATTAGTGACAATATACCCTAAGAACTTTCCCGATCCAACTCCAAACGCACATTTTGCTGCATTAAGCTTCATCTTGTACTTACGGAGTACCTCAAAGGTTTCACAAAGGTCATCGGGATAATGTCTAGCTTCCTTTGACTTGATCACCATGTTGTTGATATATACTTCAAGGTTCCGTCCGATTTGACTACGGAACATTTTCATAACCAGCCGTTAGTATGCTGCTCCAGCATTTTTAAGTTCGAAAGGCATCACTTTGTAGCAGAATAACCCAATAGGTGTGATGAATGAGTTTTTTTCCTGATCATCCAGATGCATCGTAATCTGATGATATCCCCGATACGCATCCAGAAAACTCATTCTTTTGTGTATGGAGGTCACATCCATGAGTTGGTCAATTTTTAGTATACGAAAGCTATCCTTGGAGCATGCTTTGTTAAGATCGATGAAATCTACGCACACCCTCTTCATTTACCGTTCTTTTTCTTAACAACCACAATGTTGGACAACCATTCCGGATATTGAACTTCCCGAATAGCATTTGCCTCGAGTAACTTAGCTACCTCTTCCTTGACAGCGTCGAAGTGTTGAGGCGTGGACCTCCGATTCTTCTGTATTACCGGTCGGGAGTTTAAATTCACGTGTAATTTGTGGCTTGTCACTCTTGGGTCGATGCCTTCCATTTCATAAGGTGTCCAGGCGAATATATCCCTGTATTGGAGTAGGTAATCCACTAGTTGACTTTTCTCTTCTGGAGCGAGATTTTTACCTATGAAGAAGAACCTGTCTTCATCTTCGGGGATTGATTAGTATTTTTTCGAGTTCGTCGACACTCTTAGCTCCAATCTGACGTTCAGCTTCCTCTCTTGAATCACATGTCCGAACTTCCGGTGGCCGAGTTAAAGATACTACGATAGATCGTTTTGCCATTGTCTGGTCCCCTGGAATGGTCCTGACAGTGTTAGCTTCTGGGAAGCATAGGACCTGGTGGAAGGTAGATGGAACAGCTTCCATTTGGTGGAGCCAAGTTCTTCCCATTATGGCCATATAAGGAGATGGCAAGTTGACTACCTGAAACTCAACTTGGTGGACTGTTTCTCCAACCTTGACTGGCAGGAAGATGCGTCCTAAAGGGAATACTAGGCTCAAGTTGAAGCCATAGAGTGTGGATTCCACATTGAGAAGGGCTTCATGAGACAACCCCAGTTTTTTGAAGAGTCCGTAGTATATGATTTTGGCCGAACTGCCTTGGTCGATCAATATTCTTTTGACATCGAATTTCCCAATCTGTAGTGTTATTACCAACGCGTCATTATGGGGATAAAGAACCCATATCAGATCCTCATTAGAGAAAGAAATCTTTGTTGATGAACAAACCTTTTTTGCAGCCACCTCTGATAGGGACATAGTTTCTCTCCGGAGTGTTGGCGCTGCTTCCCGAATTATGCACCTTTTTGTTGGAACTGAATAGATCATATTGATAGTTGTAGTGAGTTGTGTTTCCCCAGCTTTGTCCCTGGTATTATCCTTTCGATCTGTGGATGAGTTAACATAAGATCGTAGATGTCCGCTTTGCATCAACTCCTCCAAGAATTTCTTTATCGCTTTGCAGTCCTCTGTGAGATGTTCGTGGTCCTTATGGTAAGAACAACATAGTCTTCGATTGCGAAGTGATAGATCGCCGAGCATCCAGGTAGGCCAAGAAAAGTAAGGTTCGTTCTGGATTTTTGACATCAAGCGATATATCAGCTCAGTAAAGGTGGTGATAACTACTTAGAAGGCCTCCTTTCGTATTTTTGGCTGATCGGCGATTGCGTTGGACTCTTTTTTTTTTTTTTTTTGTCTGGAGACTTTTTCTCATCTTTTCGTGGAGCCTTAGGTGGGATCCGAACAGGTTTTGATTCTTCAGTGCCTCTTATGTCATCTTCAATCTTATAGTATTGTTCAACTCACCTTATTAGACTTCCCACATCGGTCAGTGGCTTTTTCGTTAGAGACTGCAGAAGCTTGCTCTCGAGTAGCAATCCTAACTTGAATGAGGCTACTGCCAGTTGTTCATTACAGTTATCGATTTTGTTGTAAGTTGCCCAATATCTACTGGAATATTCTCGTAGCCTCTCTGTATCTTCCTTCTTCATCGTGAGGAGTACATCTACTTCTTTCGGCGGCCAGCTATTGGTGATAAAGCGTGAGATGAATGCTTGCTGCAGCTGTGCCCAATCACTGATGAATCGGGCTTCTAATTTGTAGTACCATCGCAACACCATTCCTTCTAAACATGAGGAAAACATTCGACACATGATCGAGCCATTGTTGCTTCACTATGTCATGGCCTGCGTATAATGTTGAATGTGGCTGGTCGGGTCCCCTTTGCCATCATACAAGTTGAATTTTGGTGAAGTGAATTGGTATTTCGTTCAGAGCGAAATAGACATTCATCTTTTCTCGAGTTTCTCACAGACGGCGCCAATTGTAGAAGGGTGAAATTTATTCTCGATAGGGAAAGTGAGATGAGCTACTCCTTCCTTCACTTTGTAGAAAAGACAAACACTAAAACATTAGTGATCTCTCTCGACCATGGTTGGTCAGGAGAACCCTTCGACGATCAAATTAGAATATTGTGTGAACATATCGGTTTTCTAAAGGGAAATATCTTTTCTTTTTCTTTTTTTTGCTTGCCATAAAATGATCTTCTTTATTTCTTTTATAGTGTGGATACCTGGTATCGTGACCATTGGATAGCTGTACCGATCTAATGGTGTCTTATGCATGCAGGCATTGGTAAGGCAAGTGGACAAGTGATTTTGATCTGCCATTATCAGAGTTACTGTATTATAGATAGCCTACATTTAGTTCGGGTTTGAGGATTCACTCTTGATCGTTGGATTTATCTTATCGGATGCTCGGGTTGTCAGAGTTGGTTGATTTTATATCCTTTCTTCTATTGGTTTTGATCTCCATCGTTGATTTCTATCTGATCCAATGGTTTTCCTTCATGTTTAAGGATATATTTTCTAGAAGCGATCCTATTTAAATCTCCTATCACGTGACCTTGTTTTCTTTACAACTATACTTTTTAAGGACTTGGGCCTGGACTTTGCCTTTTCTGAGTAAGAATGCATTGGGCCGCGTCTTAACTTGCTTGGGCTTTGGACTTGAATTTTTATCCTCTACAATACCCATAAATGACTACATACCAAATTATGTTTTTATTTATATAATAAAGCATGAGGATTTTTGAAAATATATTAAAATGTCTTACAGATACATTTTATTTTAAGGGTTGAGATTAATTCTCAAATTCATTAAGGGTCACGATTTCTTTAATTCTCACTCACCCACCTTCTTTTCCCCTTTTTTTGTTCACTCATGCAATCTCTCTCTCTCCTGCCCACCTTCCTTCCTCTTTGTTTTTCCCCTTTTCTTATTTTCCTTCCTATTTATTTTATTTTTTTTCTTTTTTTGCTCATTTATTTTATTTACACCGTGCCTTCAGGCACGAGCATGCACTAGTACATATATATGAGAGTACTTTTTCATGTGACAAATTATTTTTTTTTTCAAAATTGTCTCTCTTTTTAAGTTGAAGGGAAACTTTAATTTGAAAAATTCTCAACATATCATTTTCAAAATTGTGTCTCTCCTTAAAATCTTTAACATATCATTTTGAAAAGTGAACACAGTTTTCGGAATAACCAAACAAATACTTTAAAATTTTCAAAAATTTGAGTTTAAAAACAACCACCAAACTTGTAAGAAAGAAAAGGAAAGAGGGAGGGAAATTACTTGGAAGCAGGAACGGTGGCAGAGGGAGCGCTCGATTAGTTCTGAGATTCAAAGAATGCAGAGAATTGAACGAATGCATGAGAATTGATTCAAAGTCGTTCTCGTTCAGTCAAACAATTTTAGGGGAAAAAACACACAAATAATAAGAAAATTGAATTGAGAAAAACGGAAACACGAGAGAGAGAGAGACGAAGAAAATGAAAATGGAAGACTTGCCTGAAAGGTGGTTGATCTCAGAGGTCCACCATTGGGACTTAGGAGCGTGATTTTTCTGCAACCAAACTTGAATGCAAACGATGAAGAATAGGAATAGGATGTGAGTAGGTGCAAGTCCAACGAACTCGTCATTTACTGCCACGTCACTATTGTGGACCTTACTCAGTGGGGTGGTGGTGCGTGGTCCCTGCGAAAACCCCAGTACACCAAAATTTTTATTTTTAATTTTTGAAAATTTTTATATTCATGAAAAGCATCTCCACTCAAATTTTTTAAATTTCGGTACGTTAATTTTTTTGAAAATTTAGATAGCAAATTGACATATCAATTTGGCTAGGGTTTCAAACGAATCGAGCTGAGTCGAATTTTGCTGAGCTCGAACTCGACTCGTTTACTTATCAAGCTCGAGTTCGGCTCGTTTACTTATCGAGCTCGTTTTTTAAACAAGCTCAGTTCGATAAGAAAATAGGCTCGGCTCGGTTCGTTAACATTAATAAAACTCAAACTCGGCTTAGCTTGACCCGGCTCGATTAAATTTTTTTAATATTATTTATATATTATTTATTATATAAATAATGTATTTATTATATAATTTAAATAAAGATAAATGAGTCGAGCTTGACGAGCCGAACTTATGCGAGCTCGAACTCGGCTCGTTTACTAAACGAACCGAGCTAAGCCAAGCCCTTAACGAGTC